CATGTGCCACCATGCCCAGCTGATTTTTTGTATTTTTAGTAGAGACGGGGTTTCACCATGTTGACCAGGATGGTCTCGATCTCTTGACCTCGTGATCCACCCGCCTCGGCCTCCCAAAGTACTGGGATTACAGGCGTGAGCCACCGCGCCCGGCCAAGAGAAGCTATTCTTAAGGGTTCTCTTTACAACTTGAACCTGAAACGTACTTTTTAATGCATTGCTTGGGCTTACTTGAAGAAATCACTAAGAATGTTCCCTACCCATATCCTACCCTTCTCTCTCAAAAAAAGACAGAAAGAAAAAGGTCAATAAGCGAAATCTTGAGCAAGAAAAACAGGAAAGTGAGCAAATGGGAAAGGTACAGTTGTCCTGAACACAAACGGAGTGTCAGGAGAATAAACCCCAGGCCCTCCAGCAGGATGGGGAGACTGAATTTGAGAATTCTTAACTAAACCTGGGACCCACTCTTTAGTAAAGGCAACAAAAGTAATGGTCACAGATCATTAACATGCCTGATTCCTGCAGAAGAAAGACCGAATCATCACTGGAGGATAACATATCCATCTTAGGCCCTCAGGATTCCAAAAGAATACATTCAAAGTAACTTGAGCTCATAATTAAAAAAAAAAAAAAAAACAACAAGGAAACCACTAGGAAAGAGTAAATAATAACTAAAAACAACAGTTTTAGACCTTCAAGAATTTCAGATATTAAAAGTAACAGTTAAAGGCTGGGCTCGGTGGCTCATGCCTATAATCCCAGCACTCTGTGAGACCAAGATGGGAGGGTCACTCGAGCTCAGGAGTTCAAGACCAGCCTGGACAACATAGCGAGACCTCATCTCTACTGAAAAAAAAAATTAGCTTGGTGTCATCGCATGTGCTTGTAGCCCCATCTACTCAGGAGGCTGAGGTGAGAGGATCACTTGAGCCTAGGATTTTGAGCCTGCAGTGAGCTGTGATGATGCTACTGCACAGCCTGGATGACAGAGTGAGACCTTGTTTTTTTTTTTTTTAAAGCCCAGTTGTGGAATATAAAATGATTATTTATGAAACACCTAAATACCTTCAAAGATGAAATGAAAAATTAAGCAAGGAATAAGAAATTATCCATTCAAGGAATAAGAAATTATCTATATGGCCAGGCAGACTGGAGAAATAATAAAACAGAAAAGCTTATAATGTTTGAAGTAAAAAACTCAATGTTTAAATAGCAGATTAGACAATGATGAAAAGCAAATTAATGAATCGAAACAGATCTAAAGAAATTACCCAGAGGCCAGATGCAGTGGCTCATGGCTATAATCCTAGCACTTTGGGAGGCTGAGGCAGGAGGATTGCTTGAGCCCAGGAGTTTGAGACCAGCCTGGGAAATGTAGTGAGAACATGTCTTTACAGAAAATTGAAAAAAAAAAAACAAAACAAAAAACAAACAAACAAAAAAACAAAAAACAAAAAACTAGGCATGGTGTCATACGCCTATAGTCCCAGCTACTCAGGAGGCTGAGATAGGAGGATAGCTTGAGTCCAGGTCGAGGCTGCAGTGAGCTAAGATCACACCACTGCACTCCAGCATGAGGCAACAGAGTGGGATTCTGTCTCAAACAAACAAACGAACAAACAAAAAATTATCCAGAGTGGAGCATGGAGCAGGAAGAAAGAAACTATGAAAGATAAGTTAAAAATGCAAAACAAGAAATCTAACATTTGCCTAACTAGAGTTCTGATGAACAGCCTAGAGAATGGCTGAGGAGAAGCAATGTTCAAAGAGATGACTAGGAAACTTCCAAGAGCGATGAAAATATGTGTATTCATAAACACAGGAACACGATCTATACTAAGCAGGATAAATGAAAATTTTATATCTAGACACATCGTAGTGAAACTTCAAAACACCTGAGAAAAAGAGAATTTTTTTTTTTCTGAGACAGGGTCTCAGTCTTTCACTCAGGCTGGAGCGCAGTGGTACAACTTCGGCTTACTGCAACCTCTGCCTCCCAGGTTCAAGTGATTCTCATGCCTCAGCCTCCTGAGTAGGTGAGATTACAGACACGTACCACCATGCCCGGCTAATTTTTGTTAATTTTAGCAGAGACAGGGTTTCTTCATGTCAGCCAGGCTGGTCTCAAACTCCTAGCTTTCAGTGATCTACTCAACTCAGCCTCCCAAAGTGCTGGAACAACAGGCATGAGACACTATGCCCAGCTCTAAAAAAGACTTCAGAAGAAACCAAAGAAAAAAACCAGATCACCTGTACAGAAATAGCTGCTGTTAAATTTCTCAGAACAGCAATGTAAGTCAGTCAATGAGACAATATTTACAAATTAAGAAGAATTAACTGTCAATCTAGAATTGGGTATTGAGTCCAAGCATCTTTTTAGAATAAAGGCTAAATAAAAACATTTTCAGATAATCAAAAACTGAGAATTTACCATCTTTCACTGAAGAAACTTCTAAGTAAGACTGGTGCGGTGGCTCACGTCTGTACTCCCAGCACTTTGGGAGACTAAGCGGGGGTGAATCACTTGAGGTCAGGAGTTTGAGACCAGCCTGACCAACATGGTGAAACCCATCTCTACTAAAAGGACAAAAATTAGCCGGGGGTGGTGGCGCATACCTGTAATCCCCACTACTTGGGAGGCTGAGGTGGGAGAACCTCTTGAACCTGGGAGGTGGAGGTTGCAATGAGCCAAGATCGTGCCACTGCACTCCAGCCTGGGCAACAGAGTGAGACCCTGTCTCAAAAAACAAAAAATAAAAACAAAAAACTTCTCAATAATATTCTCCAGGAAGAAGAAAAGTCATTCCAAGCCGGGCACGGTGGCTCAAGCCTGTAATCCCAGCACTTTGGGAGGCCAAGGTGGGTGGATCACGAGGTCAAGAGATCGAGACCATCCTGGTCAACATGGTGAAACCCCGTCTCTACTAAAAATACAAAAAAACATTAGCTGGGCATGGTGGCGC